TTATATGGTTTGTATAAAAAAAATTCTCTTAACTCCTTTTATACGTCACCAGTTTGTATTTTCTGGGGAAAAGTGTGATAGATGGAATTCCAAAATCAGCTGGAAAAATGAAAATGAACACACTGCAGTGCTGTTTGAAAACTGAGTTTTCAGGAGCTTGTTACACATGTAGGGCTATTGATTAATTAACTGTGGAATTACTCCAGAGTATCTGTTCCTCTTTGTTGTGAAAATGCCTAAATTCAATAAACTGGGTCTGAAAAGTTAGGAACTGAGCTATAACATTATCCATACATGAAACATAAGTAGGTTTAAGATACCTGTGTACAGATGTATTAAAAAAACTTGTGTAACAGTTTAGTTAACCCTGATCCATACCAACAATGGATAATTAAATTAATAAGGAGTCTGTGATAGAAAATTAATTTATCCTGTGTAAAACAGTGCTAGAAATGAGGTAAAACTAATGCTACTTCTTCACAGCTTGACATCACCTGCTCTTATATTTTCCCTCGTTGGCTGGAAGTGTTTTGTGTGGTGACAAATAACGCGCCGAGGAGTTGTCACATCCAGAAGGGTTTTCCACTTAGGATTGGCCATGTGTCTTTTGTCTCCCCTGGAATATAAAAACGGCCTGGCAAGGTTTTGCATTACAGGGAATGAGGTTCCTGTTCCTTTGTCTTTCAAATCCCCCAGCAGATCAAATATCTCCTCTTACATCTTGCGCTGGAATTTTTGCCGTTCGGAAATGAGTTGCTTTTCCTTCCCCGATTTTTCCATCAATCACAGATGCCCAGGAGGTATTTTAGTTATAAAAGGAGGAGTAATTCATCTCATGTACAATCACACAGCAGATGTCCTTAAGCAGCACTTTGAAAAATGAGTGGCATCTATCTTAATCTTATCTTTCTTTTCCCCAAATTCACATACCTGTGTCTGTCCTTCTGCACTTCTTGTAGCACTTTGTCTGTTGGCACAGAATTCCAGGTGTACAAAAATCCTGTGTCTCAAATTCTGCTTTGTTTATTGGGCTGGAGATAAAGATGTGAAAAGTTTGTCATTATTTTGAGCCAGTAACACAAAGCTTTCACCTTGAAAACAAAGATCTTTGTGAATATATCCGGCACTGTGTATTTTTTGAGCATAAAATAAATGTACCTGTAGGATAAAAAGAGAAATACTAACAAATATGTTAATTTGGCTTGTTAATTCTGGCATTTTTTCCTTCCCAGTCCTTTAACACATTGCACATGATGTACCATGAGGCCACAGCTTGCCATGTAACTGGAGACCTGGTAGAGCTTCTGTCCATTTTCCTTTCGGTTCTGAAGTCAACACGTCCATATCTGCAAAGAAAAGGTTTGATTATAACCCTGGAAAGGATTATATGCCTGTTGTCTGTGAATTCATTTTCCTCACCCAAACCCTGGTGGTTCTGTCTTGCTTATGGTCTGTTTAAAAACTTGCTGAACAGACCATATCTATTATGGTCACTAATAGATATTAAATTGTTATTTATTACTGAGTTAGTGTGAAACGAGATTACAAAAATTTAATTTAAAGAGATTTCTAGGTGGATTACAGTCATATTAAAGGAAAAAGAGATTCTTTTTTCCTGTGCTTTATTTGAAGTGCTTTTGAGCAATGCCCTGAGCAGATGTGATGTTTGCACTTGCAGATGTGAAACAAGCTCTCATCCAGTGGCAGGAGCGGATTGAATTTGCCCATAAGCTCCTGACTCTGCTCAATTCCTACAGTCCTCCCGAGCTTAGGAATGCCTGCATTGGTAAGTCCTGCCCATGAACCTGCAGGCAGGAAGGACCTGTCCTGCACAGGTACCTGCTGTGAGGTGTAAATGCCACTTTTGTAAGTGCCAGAAAACTCTGTAGGTCGGGATCGTTCGTGGAATATTGTCAGGACGTCAGCGCTGATGTTCTGATCCTAAAGAATCCCGGTTGTGTCAGGTTTAAAGGAATATTCCCAATTCCCCAGGCACAAACAGTCAGCTGTCACTGAGAGACTAAATTTGCCACCTGAGGAATAACTCCTCAATTCAGGTGTGAGTTAAGAAGCAAATCCCAAATCTCCATTAAAATCCAAGCATGAACTAACGCTCCCCTCAGAAGGGGTGACCAGGTTAGTCTGAGAAACAGCTTTTCCTGTTGGTTTTTCTGACCCACTGCTGTAAAGTGGAATAGTGGAAGTAAAGCTTAAAATAGCTTGTAGAATGGCATGGATTTGCTCTTTAAAATGTAGACACAGGTATTAAATACAAGTGTCTCTTTTGCATTAGCAGAGCTCTGTCAGAAAGGTCCAGGCTTTTCCTAGTTCAGGCTTTTTTAATGTTATTTAATGGATTGCTGATAAAGGCCTAAAACTGTGTCCAAATTACCTTTTTTTTTGTGTGATTTCTATGCATCTCCCCCTGTTTTGAGTATTTCCTCATTGTCCTCCTGACTCTGCTGCTGGTTGACATTTTCCAGGAGTCAGACCCGTTTAAGAAGAAGCAAAGAGGGTAAATTTTACTGAGCTTCTCCTTTCTGCAAGCTGACACCCGTCCCTGGTGGTTGATCTACCACTGAGCAGCTTTTCTCCCAGTGGCACACAGAGGTGAAGGGAACTGGGACTGATTTAGGGGTGTCACTCAGGTGTTACTCACAGTGGAGCTGAGTGAAAAGGGATATGGAAGAGAGTTTGCAAATGCATGAGCCTTAAGTTGAACTGTTTGCTGTTAAGAAATAACAATATGTAATAGCAAAAACAACTTTTTGTTTGTAGATGTCCTCAAGGAGCTTGTACTTTTAAGTCCTCATGATTTCCTACATACTCTGGTTCCATTTCTACAGCACAATCATTGTACATACCACCACAGTAATATCCCAAGTAGGTATTTCAGTGATTGTATTTTGAAGTTCTCTTACACTATTATTACTCTGTCGTGTTCCTTGCTGATGTGAAATATTGACCTTTTTAATGTTATCCCCTATTTTATCCAAACTTACACTACAGTGTCTCTTGGACCTTATTTTCCATGTCGTGAAAATTTGAAATTAATAGGGGGGAAAAGCAATATTCGTCCTCCGCGTCCCGAACTCAACATGTGCCTCCTGCCAACCATGGTGGAAGCCAGCAAGGTATGTCAAGTGTGGCCCTAAAAAGAGCTGTTTCTCTCTTGTTTGCCCATTTTTATAAAAGTATGGCAAGAATCTAGTAGCTCAATGCATTTACCTTTTCTTTGTAAGCAAAGCATAATTCTTCTTCAAGATGTGTTGTCCTCATATACTCCATTCTAGTTGTGCACTCCAGAAGTACCATTTCCCTGCCCTTGCTGACACACAGCTCCATATTCCAGGCAGAATAAGGGTTTGGACATAGTGTTAGGAAAAAAAACCCCAGAGCACACATTTGGGTGATTTTGCAATCTGTCTGTGGCATTATAAAGAAAATTGAGGGATTGTCCAGAGGGGTTTCACAACACGTTGAGGTTTTATTGCCAGACAGCCAAAGAAATCCTGCAGGTTCCATCAGTCCACTGAGCTGAGACTGAGGTGTAATATCCTACTTGTCTGGGTAAAATCCAGTGCCTGCAATGTCATAGAGGGCTTTTAAGTCTTTCACTTCCCATTTTCCCTTCTGTGGGCTTCCTGATGGGATGCCAGTTTTGGTGGGGCTACTCTGCAGTGATTTGCCACGTCCCGTTGTTACAGCTGCACCAACGGTGGGATTCACTCACGGCACTTTGCCTATCTAAAAAGTCAACTTCCAGCTCATCCTGTGGCCATAAATAGTTAACCCCGGGAAGGAGGTAAATAATCCCCCTCCTTCCTGCCCTGAGTCTGGATGAGGTGACTCTGCCTCCCTCTCCACCGACCGCAGGGAACCCCGAGTGGATTTTAGATAGCTAAAGTCAGGTCAGGTGAATCCCACCCTGACAGGAATATGTATGGACAATCATTTGAAGCAGGAGAACTGGTTACTTGCTGTCCGGTAACCGTGGTTCTTCAAGATGCTTTGTCCACACAGATTCTGTGCTCCTCCCGCTGTGCTAATTCCAGGTGCTGTCCTAGGGGATTCTTATGGGTGAAGGAATGGAGTGGTGGTTGAAGCCGCCATACCCCTTGTGCCCTCAGGTACAGTGGTCGCAAGGACACACTGGGTGCAGGCACAGCCCCAGTGGACACAGCTTTTCAGAAAGAATCCAATCTCCTGCACATGGGGCCTATGTGCACGTAGATGGGAATCTGTGTGGGCAACACATTTCGAAGAAGCTCGGTTACTGTAGGGTAAGTAACCCTTCTTTTCTAAAGCTTTCAGAACGATGCTGTGTCTATTTGTGCACCATCAAATCGACCGTGTGAACCAAGTGCTTAAAAAACAAAAATCACAGAGAGCCAGAAATTATCTGTGGTGGGTTCTTCCCATCGTGTATAGCCACGATCTGTCATAGTGTAAATGTCTGAACTTTAAAAGCTGTCATCCTACATGACACCGTACTTTAGACTTTATATCGAATTCCTATACATTAGGAAGCAGAGGATTTTTAAACCTCTGTAACCACATCCACAATCCCATTTCCCTGTGGTTTTGCATGCTTGGTTTTCATTCAACTGCTTTGTTTGCTTGAGTTTTCGAGGTTTCCTTTTGGCTCTCTGCTCTACAGAAGCTGATGCCATTTGAAGCGTGTATGTCCAAAATAAATTAAAATACTGGCATACATATATCATTGAGACATCCTGAAAAATTCTGCTTAAAAACCTTGTGAAGCTTAGTCTCAAGAAAATTCTGAATTCTGCAGATCATAACCGACAAATGATAATTTAAAAAGCAGTCATGTGTTTATACTTAGGTATCTGTCTGTGATGTAAAATTACTGATTCTTTTCTTGTCCCGTTCAAGACATGGTATTTGCAGAGCTTTGCACCTTCTCAATGTTGATTGAGAGTCCTCCAATAAAAGGTTTTACTGCTGGGGAGTTTATGCCATCCCTCCTCCCATCACACGTGGTGTTGCCAAGGGCTGGGCAAGGAGGCACCTGGAGATTCCCACTGTTTTCCTGTAGCACACAACGAAGCATTTTAGGGCAGGAAGTGCAGTGACACAAAGGGAGATGTTTAGGAACTCTGGGAGCTGTCCTGTTGTTCTGTAGTTTAAATGAAGCTCCCTTAAATCTTCAGGGCAAAGATGATGTTTACGACCGGATGCTGCTGGACTATTTCTTCTCCTATCACCAGTTCATCCACCTCCTGTGTCGAGTTGCAATCAACTGTGAAAAGTTTACTGAAACTTTAGTTAAAATGAGTGAGTATCAGGGTGAAACAGCCCAAGGGTAACTTTTCCTGCGGTAACTTTGAGTGCTTCTCCACTAAGTTTTATATTCAGAGGTTTTAAGGAAAAGCAGAGCTTGTGAAACTCGCTGCATTTGGACATTATTTTGATCCACAAAACTGGTATCCATGTATGAGGTAGTGCAGCCTTACCCACGTGAGTGGCACACTTTGGGCCTGTCCAGAAAGGAGCTGAGGCAACCAGGGAGAATTCACGGGTTTTGTGCATTTAGAGTTTAATACAGAACTGGTATTGGCAGTTTAAATGGCTTTGGATCAGATGCTGAGTCCTGAGCACCTCAGTGGCAATTATATGACAATATTTAAAGTTTTGTCTTCCCCCATGGACCTGAGGGTGAGTTACTCAGTGTGCACAGACCTCAGTGTCACACCAATAATCTTGTCCCAAGAGTGATCACAGAATGTTCTTTTAGCCCCTGAATCACCCATTTGTGTGTTCATTAAACAGACCGTACGAACCTCACAGACTGAGGGTTTCTGATCATAAGAAATGCTTGGAATGTGATCCTAGGAAATGATACAGCACCTTGACACTGCTTTTATCAGGAATTTCCCTGTCTCCCACAAAATTCTGCCACACTGATTTGTTTCCTCCTGCAATTCCAGGTGTCCTGGTTGCTTATGAAGGTTTGCCACTTCATCTCGCGCTGTTCCCCAAACTCTGGACTGAGCTGTGTCAGACTCAGGTAAGAGTCAGGTTGAGAACCAAAAGAATGGAAAAACAGGCAAAACACAGGGATGAACCCAGGAATTGTAACTAACAGGTGTTTAATAAAACACCTCTGCTTATGTTGCTGCCACCTGATAGAACCTGATAACTGAAGTGTAAAATCTGGGATATTGCATTTTCTCCCAGTACACCCTGCAAACACTGAACAACTCCCCACAGCAGCACTGGTGGGATGGTGGGTGTGCAGACACCACCTCGTCCTGCCCTGTGAAATCCCAGCTTTTTATGTAGCACAAACACTGGGATGATGAAAGAAAAATGGGGAGATCTACTTGGGAGGCACCGTCCCTTCCTGTATGTATTGATGGGATAAACCAGCCTTCCAGGACTATGTGAAATAGGGATTTGTACAATTTGCTGACACCTGCTGGGCCTGAGCTGTGTTTCAGTGGGCCTGGCCTGCACTTCCAGTGGTGACTTCCCATGTTCTCTCTTCCTGCCAGTCTGCCGTGTCCAAGAACTGTGTGAAGCTGCTCTGTGAAGATCCAGTTTTTGCAGAATACATAAAATGTATCCTGATGGATGAAAGGACCTTTCTCAACAACAACATTGTGTACACCTTTCTGACCCATTTTCTTCTCAAGGTATGTGGTCCTTTAGTGATAATTCCAAGGAATGCAGTCATTGATGCTGTTTCATTTTGAGATACTGTTTTCACAGTTCCAATTTTTTTCAGGTTTATAAAAAAAGTACTTTCTTTTCACAGGTGCAAGGGCAGGTGTTTTCTGAAGCAAACTGTGCCAACTTAATCAATACTCTAATTACAAATCTAATAAATCAGTATCAAAGCCTAGAATCCGACTTCAGCAACCAGAGGGTTGAAATTTCCAAAGCAAGCTCTACTCTAAACGGGGTGAGTCTTTCCTAAGTTGTTAAAATACCAATTTATTTCCTACAGGAACTCTTCAGTGCCCTATGCCAGGTCCTGGTTAAGGCTGGGCACTGTTTGCTCCACTCTGTGCCTGGTGAGGGCATGGCAACTTGGGAATGTCATATCCTGGGGAGCAAAGTGATGCAAAGTGCAACAGATTTAATGGTAGGAACGTCCTAACCCAACCAGGTTTTGTCTTAGGACAGACCTGCATTGAGGTCAGCAAACAGCAGTGAGTGGGACATTTCAGTAGTGTAAATATATCTGGAATTTGATCTTTTGGGCCTTACTGCACAGGATTAATCCAAGGCCAGTTTGAAATAAGGCTTGTTAAGTTTGTTACTGCTCTGTTTTTCCAGGACCTCCGAGCACTTGCCTTGCTGCTTTCAGTGCACACTCCCAAACAGCTCAACTCAGCCCTGATCCCAACTTTACAAGAGCTTTTAAACAAATGTAGAGCTTGTCAGCAACAGAGGAACTCATTACAAGAGCAAGAAGCCAAAGAAAGAAAAACTAAAGGTTTGCCTTCTTATAATGGTGTCGCTCTAATGGTTGTAAAATGAGCGTAAGACATTATTTTATCCCTGCAGGGTGGGCCATGCCTTGGTCCAACACTGCACAGGAAATACTTTATTACGGAGCTAAAATTCATGAATTGCGTGAATTTTCCGTCAGGAAATAAGTATTTGTTGAACGTGGGAGAGGATGGGAATGTGAAAGCGGGTGGGAGCGGCAGGAAAAGCCTTTTCCCTGAGCCAGTTTTCCCGTTCCTTGCAGACGATGAAGGAGCGACTCCTGTGAAGCGGCGGCGGGTCAGCAGCGACGAGGAGCACACGGTGGACAGTTGCATCAGCGACATCAAAGCTGAGCCCAGGGAGGCTCTGACCCCCACCAGCACTTCGGACAACGAGACACGGGACTCCTCCATCATCGATCCGGGCACGGAGCAGGACCCTCCGTCCCCCGAGAGCAGTTCTGTCAAGGAGTACAGAATGGAAGGCCCTTCTTCGTTTTCAGAAGACATAATGTTGGCCACGCGGGCGCAGCACGCGGAGGAGCAGCCGGGAAACGGGAAATTCGAGGAGTGCAAAGAGTTCAAAGACCTGCAGGCTCCCAAGGATTCCATGGGAGCCGAGGAGGACTCGGAGTTTCCTTCCACGTCGATCTCCGCGGTTTTATCCGACCTCGCAGACCTGCGGGGCTGCGACGGCCAAGCCTTACCAGCCCAGGACCCCGACACGAGTTTAGCAATCAGCTGTGGCCATTCCAGAGGACTTTTTAGTCACATGCAGCAGCAGGACATTTTAGACATCCTGTGCAGGACCATTGAGTCTACGATTCACGTGGTCACACGGATATCCGGGAAAGGAAACCAAGCTGCTTCTTGACATTAGATGGAGCATGTCTGCTTTTAAGTATTTTTTTTTTTTAAAATCCTTCTTCTCCCTCCCCCCTCCCCTCCAAAAATGCTGTTTGTATAAGTTTTGCTTATTTCTGTTTTGTGCTTCAGTTTGTCCAGTGCTCTCTGCTTGAATGGCAAGATAGATTTATATGCTTCATTCTTGGTCAGGCAGAACTCCAGATCCTTTTCTTTGTTTTTAATTTTATTTTATTTTGCATCCTACCGTACACTTTCTTAAAGGGCAATCAGATAATGGCTATGTTTTATGTAATTAAGAGTTCACTGTAGTGGCTTTCATTTAATATGGCTGTCTGGGAGACAGGGCCTCCTGGCCCTGTATGATGTAATTTAAACTTATGGCATTTTTACTGTGTATAATATGGTGTCCTCTGTGCCAGTTTTGTACCTTATAATCGAGGCAGATTGCCTCAGATCGCTGTGGTTCTTATTATCAAAATTAAGTTTACTTGTATACTAAACAACCACAAGAAATTTGATTCTGTAAAGAATCCTCTTTAGCTGTGGCCTGGCAGTATATATATGGTGCTTTATTTAACAGAATACCTGTGGAGGAAATAAAGCACACTTGATGTAAAATTAATTGTTTTATTTTTATTGACATGATCAATTGCTATTCTGTGCACTTCATTAAACTGATTGTGATGACTTTTCATTTGTTTATAATATGTTGCTTCAGTCTCTGGATTTGTCAGCAAAGAACCTCCTAAGTAAGTGAAAGAGCAGCAGAGAGAGATGAAGGGCAGGTGGGCAGGATTGATGGAAATCTCGGTGCTGGTCTGGTTTATGTGCACAAATGTGGAGAGGCTGGGGCTTGGTGTTGGAACACGAGGTGCTGTCAGAAGCCAGTGCAACTTGGCATCTCCTTTCCTTCATTTTAACCTGTGTGATGATGTCATTTTTCTCCTGCACCATTTGCAGACTTCCTTTCTTTTCCCCCTCTCCCTGGCTGTGCTCCCTCATTTTTGACAGCTGCTACAGCCCTGGAATGCTGGAATGACTTTATCACCTCTCCCGTCCTGTTTCCTCCTGTTATTTCTGAGCAATATCCATTTCCTATGTGACCTTTTGGCCTGTCAGTGATACTGGTTTTAATATCCAATTAAACTCCATTTTCAGTTTCATTTTCCAGTTGCTTAGCTCATTTGTTTTTCTACTGTCTTCATAATACATTTATTTTGGTCTTTTTTCTTCTGAATTCTTTCATTCCATCTACCATTTACTAGTTTAGTATCATTTGCTTCTCCTTGAGTCTATTATATGATATTCTTGCTCCCTTTAAATCTACTCTCATTGTTTTTAACCTTGTGTAATTAATAATTTCTCTTTAAAGTTCACACTTTAAGCACTTTTACTCCTGCATTTACAGACACTGCTGATGCTGGTGAGTGTGAAGTTGGTCTCATTAATCAGACATGAAGTAATTATGGGTTTGTTCTCTTTAGGAATGATTTTATTGCCTTTTCTGATCAGCTTCTCCCCAGGTTGTGATTCAGAGAAATCTTCAACAGTTTTTTTCTGGTCAGAACTTCTGCAATCAAAATTCATCTCTCAAGACTCTGCCAAACCAAGTGAGTTGTGGTTGGTCAGGTTGTCTTTAGGAAGATATTTCCCAATGGCTCTAAAGATCTCTGAGATGCAGCAGCCCTTGTAACCCTTTGGTGAGTAGTTTC